GTTATCTACATTTGAAACCATGGTTAGCATTTTTCCATTGTTATATTGTATCCATTCCTGAATCTTAGTGATTAATGTAAAATATAACCTTTCATGAATCTTAGTGCTGTCTAAGAACTTAGATCACAGTGCTCTAGACTTATTTCACATTCCTATTATATCCATCATAAATATTATTATGTCTCACATCCTTGTGAACTTATAGTTCCTTGAATGAATAGGATTTCGATTAATCATATCAAACCCTTATTATTGTAGCCCTATCACTAGTATTATATTTTCATCTTATCCTTTAGTATACTATGCTCATTTCCCATTTTACTTTAACTGATTACTTATCGACGTAATCACATTCAATGGATGAATCTTGACTAGTTACATCCTACATTGTATGGTAACACACTTTGTGGTTATCTTCCTTGTATTTGGTTTTTATTAAGTTATATGCATGCTTTAAGATTTTATACCTAATTGTCTTAAATGCCTTAGTGGGATCGATACCAATGCCTGCATCTGAATGATTGCCTGGCATACTAGAATCCCTACTCAATGCCATTAGGAGGTTCCTAATTGTCTATCATATTCACAGCCTGGTTGCTGTATCTGTAACTAATTGCTGAGTCAGCACGGCTATCTACAATTTAGAGACCACAGCTGAGAGGTCTACTACTATTACAAACATAACCTGCTGCACCAACCCTCTCAACTGCTAAACTGGCAGCTGCCTTACCCTAGAGCCAGTTTGCCTAAAACACAGAAGACATCCCGAGCCGAAGTCCTAAGACAGAGCCGGATGACTGATCCTTCTGAGTGCCAGTCCTGCGACCTCAAGATAACGACCCACTGGCTAGCAGCTAAAAATATAAGTAGTCATGCATAGGAACACTATCTTTCACGCATTAGTCTGCAATCCATGATGAGCAATTGTTTTAGATACCAATACACCCATTTCACTTCTTGATGGTATCTTTTTATATAAAGTTACCTTTTGTAAACTGGTTTTCATTAAATCTTTTTTAATTTATAAACTTAAAATATTTGTCTGTTCTTACTGTTAGTTGCGGTGTGCCTGTTCAAAATCTTGTATATGTGAGCGGTATAAATTAATAAAGTTTCCCCTAGACTAATAAACCAGCCAAAAAAGAACTATTCAAACATATCGTCACATGTAACAGTCCCTCCTTTTTTATTCTATGTATATTTTATGTGAATAAATTTCTGTTGGCCAGTGTGTTGCACATTTAAAATGATCATCTCCTAGATATCAAACAAGCCACACATACATGCAATAAACGAGGTGCGTCACAATTTTTTAGACCTGATCGTATCAAATCAGATGTGATCTGATCTGTTCTTAATCTGATCTGATCGGATCGAATTGAATCACAATCGTATTGGATCTGCATGAAACGAATTTGTTAAATAAGACCCCATTGGAACGGTTTGGCACTTATCCGGATTTAATCGGATCTTATCAGATCTGTTGGAATCAGCTATTATCCAAATATCTCAAATAAGATCTTAACGGATCAAACGATAGGATGGGATTATGTTTGAATGAATGAAAGTTTTTTGTTTCTCCCCACCCTCCCCCCGAGAAAGAATCCTGGTTAAGCTAATGTATAGATTTACTAAATTTTATAATATTCCAATAAAAGGCCTATAAATTTTATTTTACATGAAGATGCACAAAAATTTACTAAACATTTATTTATTAAAATCTTTATTGAACAAGGCCTCCATGCGGAAATACCCAATATATATTACAAATATTTTCTTTTTGTCTAGCCAAATTAATTTATTTTCACTTTAAAAATTATGACGGTTAAATAGTGTAGCCAATAACTAATAATTCTTTTTTCGACAATATGCAGCAACAGTCAAATCTCTAAGAAAATCGTTCCAGACTTTTTTTAGATTTTTCTACCCACCTACCCACCAAGAAGGTTCTATGTTCTATGATGTTACGATATATATATATATATATATGTATATATGTATGTATGTATGTATGTGTGTGTGTGTGCGTGCGTGTGCGTGAGCATGGGCGTGTATGTCTGTGTGTGTAATACATCGTCCATCGTAGTTCGACGACGACCACTTTAGTGCGAGATCAGACATGTCTCAACTAATATAATAGTTTTAATACTGGATTGTGGTGACACAGTTATTGAACGATATGGGTGACCGACCGTGACACACTTTCAAGAGAAGTGTTCCTGTGTGCGTTGACAAAATTGTATAGTGTACCTGTCCTGTTGGTTGACTGAATAGTTAGCGACGTGGATGTGCTTGTTGACAAGTAGCCTTTGGAGCTAGGATTGGAACAACGGTGTGTAAAGTCGAAAATATGATATGTTGTAGCTAGAAAGAATTTTATTGTTAGCTTTTGTCAAAATATACGTTGTTAGTACTGTTCCTCTTTACTCTTTGACAATAGAGCTTTAAGAATATAACACAATAATTATAACGATCCCACACTAAAAAGAGAGAGCTCGCATCACCACAAATACAGGCCTCGACAAGGAGTTTTACAATAACATTGATATACTTACAACCCAGCCTTGTCCTTTGGGATTCCTTCAATTTGGAGACACTTGAAATTGCCATCTTTAATGTTTTGTTGATATGGCAGCGATAGCTGGTGAATACATTTAGATACATTGCAATTAAGTCTGAGGTAATACTTAAGCAAAATATACTTTCTATTTTTAAAAATCTGACTTTTTTAATATGATATTAAAACCGAGTTTCATGTGACCTCGTTTGTACTGGCTAATGAAATTGAGAACCGCTATTTATTTTTGTTACCTAGAATTTTCTCTTATGCGTTTAAGTAACTTTTTATCGTCAACGGATGTGAAATTTAGATTTTAGTATTGCATTTACTATATTGATGACATCATTGAGTCTCTTTTCGTGGCAATTGATAACGTCATGTCTAGAAATACAAAAATATACTTTTAGAAAATTAGATTAAAAAATGTACGTCTTTACATATATATTTTCACTTGTATATGCAGAACCCAAACACTATTTTCCGGAAAAAAAAGACTAGTATTTATTTACATTTTTTTGGTTGTAAATTTAGATTCAAAAGATAGTTAAAATATCAATGTAAAATAAAATAAAAAACAACCGAAAGTTTGATGTACTATATCTTAACGTTTTTTTTTCTTTTTATATTCTTTTCTCCTCCAGTTTTATAGCTGGCTAACGAAGGGATGGCGATGTAGCTTTGTTGTATTTGGGGCTGCCACAGGTACACGTTTGAGAAACACTGATCTAGAACAATTTCACTCCACACGTTTTTATACATATATAAATATTGGACGTTTTATATCGGCCCCAGTAAGGGGAAAAGTCGCTATTAGGTTGGTCCAAAATGTCCGTCTGTCCGTCTGCCATACTCAAATCTTGAAAACTAGAAGAGATATGAAAAATATTATTTCCCCATTTCATGCCTCTTTTGGTTTTCTAAAATTAAATCGTTTAATTTATAAGATTAATTCTGCAAGCGATTTTTTCATAAAAATACACCAATTCTAAAACAATTACGTAAATGTAAGGGAGGCAATGTTACAATATGCTAACAAAGAAGGACAATCTTTTTGTATTTTCAGTATCACTAAGTCAAATATAGTTTTAAAATGTACAGGAAATATTTAAAACAAACTTAAATATTAGTTAAAGAGGTTTTTTCTGGTCAACATTTATGTTTGTATATAAAGGCTTTCTATGTAAATATCACGCACATTTTTTACAATGGACTTTTTATGTAGCGACTTTCGTTTAATAGCGTAACTTCACGGCATGACACAGTACTAAACTAATTCCATAAAAATTTCTAAATAAGCAGATTTTTAAATATTTTTTGTTAAGTGTCCCCTCTTATTTTTGTGCGCTTTGTCTGTTGGTCGGTCTGTCTGTCACGTTTAGATTTTTAAAAAAATACAACACTAAAATCAATTTAAAATCTGATTTAACCTTTAATAATCCTTCAGAAATATTGCAATAGTTTTAAGTATCTACAATAGATTGTTCCGGATAATTTCTTGAAAAAAAATCAATGTCAACAAATGTCTGTTTGCTCTTCTAATTTATATTTTATTTAATTTCCGTGTTTAAAGGTCACAAAACACTTGATCAATTATATGTTATTCCAGTTTTTTTTATTTAAATAGCATATAAATGCTAAATTAAAATCTCCATATGGGATTATATTTTATTAACTATAAAGCTGTTCCTGAAAATGTTATATAAAAAATAAATTATGTGAAATGATTGTTTGAAATCGCATCATTGACTTACATTACACTTCTATTCTTTGACAATACGTCACTATAGTTTAATTATCGATATCAAATCGTTCCGTATTTTCAACGTAAAACAAATGTAAGTCAAATGACTTTTTTAAAAGTATCGTCAATAGGTTGTTCCCTATTTTAAATAAGAAAATAATTTACTAAAAATGATTATTGAAAATCACTTTTAGTGGCCTCCGTTATTGGAAAAGCCTCAATTAGGTTTGTTAGACTTATTTACATTTAAGTTTCTTGCTAAAACATAGCAAAATCGGTAAAAAAAATTCCGGATTTAGTTTGGAAAGAAAAATCGACCTACATAACATAAATGAATCTTTGAAACATTGTTACTTTTGACCATCAAAATTAATCACGTCTATTGACTATTCCTTGAGAATAGGCTGATTCGACAGGGATCCGACTCCGACTGGGGCCGCCCTGAGTTTTTGTGATGACAAAAACTTTCTTTGTAATCTTGTTTTTACGGAATTTACGTTTCGGACCTTTCTTCAAAAAATATAATGCATTTCTGTTTTAAACCTCCAAAATAACAGTAAAAGATGTTAATGTTTTCATGTAATTTGTGAATGTTATTGTAGATTAGATCAAGAAGAATGTACGAAAACTGTATTGCCAAAGTTGTTAAATTATTACATTTATCAAATTATTCAATTCACAAAAGATACTTACTGTACTCATTTTCTCTTGTTAATTGAAGTCTGAAATAAGTGTAAATGGAATCTTTACTTTAAAATATAATTTTGAAATATCTAATATTAGCGTTATGTTGTATTTAAAAGAAAAGGTAGAGCCACTACCGTTCATCCCAACGCACAAGCCACATAACACCGTTCCTACCAAAATAAAAACAATAAAAAAAAAAACGCCAGCACCAGAAATTTATCGCACGTCTCATACTGGGAAAGTAAGTGCCACTTAGGGCTCATTGAGCTGGAACAATAAAGAAACATGAACATTAAATTTCCGAATCTGATTCTAAAAATTTCATAGTCTTTCACTGCAACTTCCGAGGACATAGTCATAAGACTATTGAAATAACTAATCCCAGAAAGAGTTAGTGGATTTTGTGTGACTTACTACAAGAATAGAATGCCTGATAGATGGCTGCCTGGTTGTCCGGTTTGCGCGCTGGTTTATCGATGGTTCCGGGTTCAAACCCTGCCCGCTCCCATCCTCCGTCGTCCTGCGGGAGGTTTGGACTAGGAAGTTATTATCTTCAACTCTGAAGGAACATCCGAAACATGTAAAATATTTTACAAACACCTGATGTCTCCAAACATTACGTTTTCAAATGAGCAAACATGCACAACATCTGCGCTCTTCTTACACAGAGAAAACCACGTTGGATCTGAAATGTTACTTGTATGCCAGATTTAAGAATCCCTAAAGACATCCCTTATGCTGAGCATGCAGAGGGAATCACACCAAAAGCCGCCCAAGACAAAACTATAACCTGTAAGCGAGACATGAGAACCACAGGCATTAACGAAAATATGTGGAAGAAGATGGCCAAGATCAGACAGCATAGAGGCAGACTGTGCATGCTGGTACGATCTTCACTGAGATAAAAATAAATGAAGCTTCATTATTCAAGAGAGATAAAAAAAATTGCCTATCAGAAAGCTCTACAAAAGATGCATGAACATGAGATGTGGCTTTAGAATTGGCTCGAATAATTCACACCAGATAACCGTCGCAAGAAGAAACTGGAACCAGGGATTCAACTGGGCGCATCCACTGTATTTCGAGACAGAAGGAGCCATTTTACGTGTCACCATATATGTGGAAATTTTTTTGACAATAATCTAAATAATTTTGTCGTCTTCTTAAAAAAATCTTGCGATGACATGCCCGTCCGTTCATTTATGTGGTCATCCTATCGCTTTCACTTTCAGCTTATCTATGTATCTATCTATCTATCTATCTATCTATCTATCTATCTATTTAAATTTATATTCCGTTAATAAAGATGATAATTATCAAATTGTCTATCTAGCAATCTATCTTTCTATCATGTAATATTTGCATATATATTTAACATATTTACCCTGGTTATAATTTGAGCAATACTCTATAACTAAGAAGTGTTCTTTCCAAAGTGAGAACTCCGCGATGTTTTATAGGCTACGTTTTCTCAAAGGTGTCAAAGCTTTTCTTGATGTTAGATTTTCATTGGACAACAAATAACGAATCAAATATGACCATCACTCATGACAGCTAACAGCCTATTAGGTCTTGGATGATTTAAAGATAAATCTAACCCCAAAAAAATATGTTAATTTGAACGGTAAGACTTCGCTACCGTTTTTAAATGTCGTTGATAACAAGGAATCTTGAGTTTCAGGATATTTAGGACAACCGTGACTCCTACGGTGTCAATTTTCTAGAAAAAATTTTTGCATTCTTGTGTAGGATATATTGTAACTGAGAGTATATCAAATTAAATATATATATATATATATATTAAAATATTAAATTATTTTCTAGGAAACTTTCGTGTATGCAATAGAGCAGAAAGTAGGGCAAAGTGTGACAAAATATAAATGATCAAGCGATGCAGAGACGAAGATAGATATATGATACATCTGGGGAAAAAATGTGATGAGTCGGAGAGTGTACCAATGTAACAGAAGGTCGTCAAAAGATTTATTAAAAGATGGAAACTTGTTTTCTATGTGGTGCACTAGGAAATGTTTGTATTTGGTCGGAACGTTGGCACTTGCGTTTTTTTCCACAAAACGAAATATTTCGATGACAAAGACATTGGCTTTATAAAATGTTTATCAAGATTGGTTAAGCGGCTCTGATTTCTATTCATCACATACATACATACATACATACATACATACATACATACGCCTTACTTTATATTTTATATATAAGAACATATCCAAACGTTACGCAAAGGCATGCTTTTTCAGTGTAATACAATTTCCCATGAAGACTGATAAACTCTTCAAACTTGTAGACAAGTCACATTATTTGGATAGTACACGTAGAGAGAGAGAGAGAGAGAGAGAGAGAGAGAATAAATATTCATTATTTGTGTCATTAGATATGCTCTTCTTGATACGACAACATGCTCTAGTTAGGTTGGAGATTGTTCCAGCTTAATAGCAAACTTGTGTCTCATTTTCTTAATTATACCGAGGAGATTTGTAATCTAGATACACCTGTACACGCATGATTATCATAGAGGTATCTTCTTACGGAAAATATAATAGAATGTGCGTGGTTAGGGGCTTTCTTATAATTGAATTATATCTCCATAGCAAAATAAACTCATTGTTTGACAAATATTCAATTTTGGTGAAACATAAATGAAAATCAACAAATATATTAACATTTTTGTTTGATGGTGTTAAGGCTAATATAAAATTTTGAACAGATATACTGAAAGAGTTTTCTCTAAGCGTATTAAACGAAGTCATTCTTGATTAAATTATTACATTTCTTTCTAAATTCGAAGTTAGTCTAGTTTCTTGTCCGTCTTAGAAAACGCAACCCATTATACGATTACATCCTTTAAAACATTGAAAATATTAATTCCTTATCCACATCTAGAACTCGTAAAGAAAATATTAGTGCCCACACCATGGGCGTAACAAGGATTTTTTTCTGGGGGGATTTTTTTCTCCCCTTTCGCTAATATTTATTGTTACGATCTTCTCTATCAGGCCTTCTGTCAGCTCAACAACACAGCACATCTAATACAAGACGTTGACAACAAGAGCTTCAATAAACAAGGTGGCGGTTTAATGACAAATACATCAACAAGCCAATTAACACAATTGGCTACACCAGTGATGCCCAAATTACGGCCCGCGGGCCAGACCCGGCCCTCGACGTGGTTCCAACCGGCCCGCCAAAACATCGGTAAAAAATGTAGAAAATAAATAATAATATTTCATATTTAATAATGTTTGATGGATTACATTGTAATCTATTGTTTTGTAATATTCATATTAATTTTTGTTTATAAGAACACATGGCTTTTTTTTTTCGACGATTAGAATTGACAGTTGTTTTAGAGTCTTGGACGATTCCTCGGCTGTCTTAAGCTAGACGTGTCCTTGACATCTCATGCATGTAACGCAGCGTATCTTTTCTGTACCATTTTGGTTCGTGTTCTTCTGACATCAACAGGATTGGTATAATGCAACATTTTTACGTTAATGAAATAGAGTTATTGAAATAGAGTTAATGAAATAGAGTTAATGAAATAGAGTTAATGAAATAGAGTTAATGAAATAGAGTTAATGAAATAGAGTTAATGAAATAGAGTTAAATGAATGAAAATAGGATCTTGAAACTTCCAGGAAAAGTGCACAGATCTTTTTGTGTGTAACAAGCCAACATGTTTGATTTGTATAGAGAGTGTGGCTGTTTTAAAGAACATATCATAAAAAGACATTCTAAAACAAACCATTACAAAAAAAAATGGAGGCACTATCGGCTTGAGCCGCTAAGAAAAGAGTCGCTAAGTTACGTCTAGAGTTGAGTGATTTGCGAAAATATTTACCAAGAAGAATAATGAGTCATCTGTAATGGAGGCTACAGAGTTGCTCACATTTTAAGAAGAGAAATGAAGCACAAAAAAAACTGATTGCTAGCAGTGATGGAATAAAATCGTCCTAATAAAAAAAAGTTGAAGCTGTGCCTCCATTTTAACATGAGAGCTGCAAAACGAGTCTACGATGTAGGTGAAAATCTCCATTTAAAACTAAATGACAGATCAGCAGATTTAGAAATCCTTTTTATTGCCGCTGAGGGGTGACACCTACTGGAATTGATTGACTTACAAAGGCAGACTTCAATGCTTGAGAAATTTTAAGCAATACAGAAAATAGATGCAGATAATAGATTTCGACCACTGCAAGCAATAGATTTCTACACCGTGTTGTGTACATTAACCTTGCACATTTCAGAAAACAATTGCTCGGTATGATCACAATGTTTGCAAGCACTTAATTTAGGAGAAAGTAGACCTACTGGTGCCACGGGATTGTAATCAAACTATTTAAAGTTGTTTATTCTCTATTTTATTTTGTGTATCTTTTCGTTCATGTGGCCCGCGACACAAGTGTCGGAACTTAAAATGGCTCGCAGGCCGTATAAGGTTGGGCATCACTGGGCTACACTAACTTCAAATGATTTTCTTGTAGCAGTACTGCATAACGAAACACTAGAAGTCTCTCTAGCTCGTACAGCTACATTTTTAAGGACTCACTTTGTAGTACACAGTCCGTACTGCTTCCTGTCCTGGACCCAACTCTCTTTTCTTTACACACTGTCCTTCGACCGAGAAGGCTCTCGTTCACGTGACCACAGCACAGGTCATACTTGCGTGCACTAGCAGTACTGTCCCTTATTCAACAGCCCTTGACCTGTGTGATTGGCCTAAGTCGTGTGTGTCAGTAGGCCGCACACATTAACCTCCATTCTTTCCAAAACGTTTATTGTACCCTTGAATAGGTTCTTTCTGCAGATAGTGGAAAATTGTAGACTCTACGCTATTTCCAGGAATGAGGTTTGGAGGAGCGCTGTGAGGGCCCTGAAAGCGGGGCCAAGCACTATTTTCGGTATTGAAAGCCAAAAAAATGCATATTCTGCGGTACCTACAGTGCATTATCCTGCTATTCAAAAGTTTTATTTCAAAAACCTAATGTGTTACTCTTACTGACTAAGATCCTCCCGCGCCGTTCGGCTCTTTGGGCGGCAAGCTGTTTTCACAAAAAGCTGTCACTTGCAATGTCTAAAGCCTCTTCCAACTTTTTCTGAGGAAGTCAATGAAAGTGTGGCGCCAAGTTATACTAGGATGTTTCTGTTTGCGATTTCCTCATAATGGCCTCCATGTCATTGCAACTTTTATTATGCGTAATTCAT